AAGTACCAGGCACCCCCACCACGTGACGGCAAGACTCAGTGTCTACAGTATACTCCCATTGCTATGGGCGGTGGATTGGGTGGAGATCTTCATGCCTATGTGCAGATGGGCAGGCTGAGGTACAAAGTAGGAAAGTCCCCGGGTAAGAGGCCTGGTTGGGGCCGCCGGTGCCCTGGATCTATTAGTGACCTGCTGTGGGACCTTGGGGTGGTCCCTTCCCCTTGTCAGTGAATTGATGGGGTTGGAAAGGCTCTCCTGGGAATCATGAAATGTGGGATCTCCAAGCGCTGGTGACAAGTGAGGTGGCAGCACCTCAGATCCTGTTCCAGGCCCCGGGACCAGGCATCCCTCAGGCTTAGGAGCCTCCGTCTGTGTCCTCTGCCAGCACACCCACTTTACCAAGCACACGACTTTCCCGGGGTCTTGTACAGCAGAATGCAGACTCTGACCCAGAAGGTGCTGGCAGGGCCTGCAGTTCTGCATTTCCAGCAAGCTTCCGAGAGAGGCCAGTGCTGTGGGTCTGAGGACCACACTTTGAGTAGCCAAGGTCTGAATTTGATGTGGGTCATGGTATACACCTGTGTAAAAAGCTATCAAGGCCAGGCGTGGTGGCTCACGCCTGTAATCCCAACACTTTGGGAGGCCAAGGTGGGAGGATGACCTGAGGTCAGGAGTTTGAGACCAGCCTGGCCAACATGGTGAAACCCCATCTCTGCTACAAATACAAAGACTAGCCCAGCATGGTGGCACATAGTCTGTAGTCCCAGCCCTTTGGGAGGCTGAGACGGGAAAATTGCTTAAGCCCAGGAGGTCGAGGCTGCAGTGAGCCATGATCGTGCCACTGCACTCCAGCCTGGGTAACAGAGTGAGACCCTGGCTCTTAAAAAAAAAAGAAAAAGCCATAAAGCTGCACATTTAAGATGAGTGCACTTGGCTGGTCCGAAGGGAGTAAGTTATCTCAGCCAATTGTTCGCAGGCAGTTACAGATCCAACTCCTTATTCTACTCTTTCCCCTTTCTCACTACTGCACTTGACTAGTCTAAAAGCCAAAAAGGGCCCGTTCAGTGGTTCATGCCTGTAATGTCAGCACTTTGGGAGGCTGAGGTGGGTGGATCATTTGAGGTCAGGAGTTCGAGACCAGCCTGGCCAACACGGCAAAACCCCATCTCTACTAAAAATAAAAAGTAATTAGCCAGACCTGGTGGCACACGCCTGTAATCTCAGCTACTGGGGAGGCTGAGGGAGGAGAATTGCTTGAACCCGGTGGCAGAGGCTGACTGAGCCAAGATTGTGGCACTGCACTCCAGCCTGGGTGACAAAGCAAGACTCCACCTCAAAAAAAATAAAAATAAAAATAAAAAGAACCAAAAAGATGAGTGTACCTTACTGTGTAGGTTATGCCTCCATGAAAAAAATTCTAAACACACACACACACACACACACACAGATGATTCTGGGTGCTCCATTGACAGAGAGTTGAACATATAATAACATTAGTTTAAAAAAAATCCAGCCTAAGAAGGGTCGCAGGATGAACTCAGAATGGTTAATGAACCATGAGCCAAGTGGGGAGTACTGGCCACCCACAGTGCCCCTTAACCCTCCCCCACCACCCCATCTCCTCTGTACAGTCACCCTCCAACACACCCTCCCCGTCCAGGTGCTAGGGCGGGATGCAGGCGCCTCACATTCCCGCAGCCTTGCCTGTCTCAGGAAATGCGTGTGGTCTCCAGCTCTGGCCGCCAGGAGACAAAGCCACCCGCTTGGTTCCTTGGCCCCCGGCAGGAGGGGGAAGGGGAGAATTTCCTTAGGAGAGGTTCCAAGAAGAGGGATTACTGCTTCAAAGGGAGTGCACCATTTCAGGCGGCTGAGAGCTGCTGCGCCACCTTCCAGAAGGGGCCCGGCACCCCTTCTTGTGCCCAGCATGTGGGTCCCGGCTGGGTCTGCCTTAGGGCCCACTCTCCTCCTGTCCCCTGCTCCCTCTCTTGCAGTTGGTGACCCCTGGGGTCTCCTCTGAGTGGCCGCTGCCCTCGGTTGCCCACCCCCCCTGCCACCGTCCTTGCTGTCCCCTGTCTTTGCTGTCCCCTTGGTGGGGATGGATAGCCCCTTCCTTTCCCCTCCCCCACTGCCCCACTGCCTCACTCTAGTCATTTATTTCCTCACTGAGGTCCTTGTCCCTGAAGGGCCATGGAGCTGATTGACCCAGCGTGCTTCTCTGGGTCCCGCGTGTGTGGTGGGAATCCTCACATTGCCTTGTTGTGACCGTGGGCCATTGCATTACCTCCCTGTGCCTTGGTTTCCTTGCCTCTAAAGACGAACCTCATGGGGTTGTTTGTAAGGATGAACGCACAAATGCAAGCTGAGTCCTTAGAATTCTTGGCACATAGCAAGTACTCAATAAACCGCCTGGCTGCTGTGCACTGGGGACACAGTCCTTTGCTCTCCGGAAGTCTGACTGTGCCCTGTCCCTACCTCACAGGGCCATCCATCAATGCTGGTGAGCTGAGCTCAGCTGACAAGCCAGCCTTGCACAGAGCGCAGCCCCTCCTGCTGGTCCAGATCCGTTCTGTCCAGAGGAGGATTTGGTATCCCCAGATGATGCCTGGCCTTGTTGGGAGCCTCCTCACCTGCCCACACACCAACCCTCTGACTCCCTCCACCTCACCGCCTGGGGACAGGAAGAGAGCAGGACAGCAGCGGAAAGGGGTGCTGCTTATGTGGCTCTTCTCAGAAGCAGGAGGCTCCCAGGCCAGGAATGTGAAACCATCTTGCAGATGAAGAAGATGAAGTCCGAGAGTTTATGAAACAGACCCAATGGGCTTGCTCTTCACTCTTGGCATCAAGAATCTGGAACCTGGGCCGGTGTCTGGAACTGCTGTGCTCAGGCAGCTTGCCTGGAAATCAGGTAGCGTGGCGGGACCCCAAAATCCCACTGTGGCCGACCATGAATCTGCCGTGGTTGTGTACCTCTGTTTTGCTTCCCAGAAACGAAACTTTGGCAACTGCAGGGGGATGGAGTGGGGCGGGTGAGGTACAGCAAGATCAGGAAACAGAACCGTCATCAAATGCCTGCAGAACGTGAGATAACCAGCAAGTGTGATTAAGCACCTGTGTGCTTCGCAGCCATTACGGTGGCTAAATCTCGCAACCACACGGTGAGGAAGGGTTTCTGTTTTCATTTTATAGATAAGCAAACTGAGGCTGAGAGAAGTAAAGTCACTTGCCCAGGAGACTCACAGCTGGAAGGAGGCAGGGCTGGAATTCATCATTGTTTTTGAATGTTCAAAAGATACTTTTTATTTGCCTGTTTTCAAAAAATATTTCTCCCTTACTTTAGACAATTAGTAAAAGTTACAGGAGCCAACAAAAACGGTGAGGGAGAGAGCTATCATTCAAGGCCTTTTCAAAAGAGTTATCAATCTGAAGAATGATAAAAAGACAGATTATGGAATTCAAAATTTTTAAAACTCCTTGCATTAAAAATAAGTCAATATTTGTAATAAAATCTTGTTTCTGGCTGGGCGTGGTGGCTCATGCCTGTAATCCCAGCACTTTGGGAGGCCAAGGCGGACAGATCACTTGAGGTCAGGAGTTCGAGACCAGCCTGGCCAACATGGAGAAACCCCATTTCTACTAAAAATACAAAAATTAGGCCAGGCGCCGTGGTTCAAGCCTGTAATCCCAGCACTTTGGGAGGCTGAGGCAGGCGGATCATCAGGTCAGGAGATCTAGACCATCCTGGCTAACACGGTGAAACCCCGTCTCTACTAAAAAATACAAAAAACTAGCCGGGCGAGGTGGCGGGCACCTGTAGTCCCAGCTACTCGGGAGGCTGAGGCAGGAGAATGGCATAAACCGGGGAGGCGGAGCTTGCAGTGAGCTGAGACTGTGTCACTGCATTCCAGCCTGGGCGACAGAGCAAGACTCTGTCTAAAAAAAAAAAAAAAAAAAAAAAACGAAAATTAGCTTGAGCATAGTGGCATATGCCTATAATCCCAGCTACTCAAGAGGCTGAGGCAGGAGAATCACTGGAACCTGAGAGGCTGAGGTTTCAGTGAGCTGAGATTGTGTCACTGCATTCCAGCCTGGGTGACAGAGCAAGACTCCATCTAAAAAAATAAAAAAAAAAAATGGCTGGGCGTGGTGGCTCACACCTGTAATCCCAGCACTGTGGGAGGCCGAGGTGGGTGGACCACGAGGTCAGGAGATCAAGACCATCCTGGCTAACATGGTGAAACCCTGTCTGTACTAAAAATGCAAAAAATTAGCCGGGCATGGTGGCGGGCACCTGTAGTCCCAGCTACTCGGGAGGCTGAGGCAGGAGAATGGCGTGAACCTGGGAGGTGGAGCTTGCAGTGAGCCGAGATCGTGCCACTGCACTCCAGCCTGGGCAACAGAGCAAGACTCTGTCTCAAAAAATAAATAAGTAAATAAAATAAATTTAACAAATTAAAAAAAAAAATTTTAAATCTTGTTTTAAGCAATTATTTAGTTTTGTATTAGTGTATTTTTTAATATTAAAGATGCATCTCTAGAAAGATTATTATAATTTCTTTTTAATTATAGCCAGCTGGATTATACATCTCCTTTAAAAATTCCTTTTACTAACTTTATTATGACTTGCATAGACCATTCACAATGTAATTTTTTTTTTTTTTTTTTTTGAGACAGGGTCTCACGCTCTCACTCAGGCTGGAGTACAGTGGCATGATCATAGCTCACTACAGCCTCAACCTCCCTGACTCAAGCAATCCTCCCACCTCAGCCTCCTGAGTAGCTGAGACTACAGGCATGCACCACCACACCTGGCTAATTTTTTATTTTATGTATAGTCAGAGCTCACTATGTTTCCCAGCCTGGTCTCTGACTCCTAGACTCAAATGATCCTCCTGCCTCAGCCTCTCAAAGTGCTGGGATTACAGGTGTGAGCCACTGCGCCTGGCCCAGGGCTGGAATTCAGACCCAAGCCCTCATCTCACAGGCTGCAGAACTGAGCTCACATTCCATTGCAGGGGGAGACAAGTGATGAACAAATAGATAAGATTAATTTAGGCAGAATGATGTTTTGGAGGAAGTTAAAGGATGAGATAATAACAGGATGATAGCAAAGGGGTGGAATCTAGACCAGCCAGATGGTTGGGGGTGGGGGAGCTCTCGATAGAAGCCGTGTTTGAACTAAGATGCGGAGGAAGGGGAGGAAGAGCCAGGTGTGTGAATGTCAGATGAAACAGTGTCCTGGGTGCAGCGACAGCACGTGCAAAGGTCCCGGGGTGAACTGAGCCTGGCGTGTGGAGGAACAGAAAGGCCTGCATGGCCGGAGCTCTGTGAGTGACAAGAAGGGAGGAGCTGGGGCTGAAGAAGTAGGCAGGGGCCTGGCAGGTCACGTGGGGAGGAGTTTGGGTTTATTCCGAGGGTGGCAGGAAGCCACCAGGAAGGACTGAAGCAGGAGGTTAACGAGATTTTTGGGAGCCACAGCCTTACCTCTCCTCAGCCCTGGTGAGGTCACGGGTAGGGGGAGCCTTGGAGGATGGTTATGGGAGTACCCTGAGGCCCTGAAGCCTGGAACTGTTCCAGACTTTGAGGTCCCCCATACCTGGGATCGGTTTCTTGCTCTGCCTCTTAATGGCTTTGGGATCTTGGGCCCATAGCTTCAGTTCTCTGAGCCTTAGTTTCCTCTGCTATAAAAATGGGGATGTCAGCCAGGGTTGGTGGCTCACCCCTGTCATTCCAGCACTTTGGAAGACTGAGGCCGGAGGAATGCTTGAGCCCCGGAGTTCGAGACCAGCCTGGGGAACATAGCCCTGACTCTACTATATATATACTTTTTTTTTTTTAATTAGGCAGGAGTGGTGGGACATGCCTGTAGTCCCAGCTACTCTAGAGGCCGAGGTGGGAGGATCGCCTGAGCCTGGGAGGTCGAGGCTGCCGTGAGCTGTGGTGGTGCCATCCTCCCTTTGCAGAGCAGGCCTTGAATACCAAGCCCTTGGCACAGAGCCAACAAGCATGAATGGTGCCCGGTATTCCTGCAGTTGTTGCTGTGAGTATCCCAGCAGCACCTTTTCAGACCCAAGGCCGGTCGTGTTCTGGCTCCCTGGCAGTCCCCACTGCGCAGGGGAGGCTCTGAGGAATTGCAGGAGCCTGGGGATGGCCCAGCTCCCAGAGCACCCCATTCCTGTTTCCTTGCCAGGGCCAGCTCAGCAATATTTCCGTGGACATCAAGGGTTCTTTCCTGTGGGGGCAGTGCAAGGAGGGTCCAAAGAGCAAGCTCCTGTGCCTCCGGGGGTGGGGGTGGGTCAGGGAGCCTCAGTTTACCCACTTGTGAAAGAGCCATAGTAACCTCAGATCTGTTCAGCACTGGTTCCCTGCTTTGAGGATTTCAAAGATCAGCAGACTTAAAAATATAAACATGGAGGCAGGGGTTCCCAAACCCCCGGCCACAGACCAGTACTCATCTGTGGCCTGTTCGGAACTGGGCTGCACAACAGGAGGTGAGCAGGTAAGTGAGTGAAGCTTCATCTGTGTTATAGCCACTCCTCATGGCTCACATCACCGCCTGAGCTCTGCCTTCTGTCAGATTGGTGGCAGCATTAGAGTCTCATACGAATGCAAACCCCACTGTGAACTGCGCGTGCGAGGGATCTAGGTTGTGTGTGTTCCTTATGAGAATCTAATGCCTGCCGATCTGTCAGTGTCTCCCTTCACCCCCAGAAGGGACCGTCTAGTTGCAGGAAAACAAGCTCAGGGCTCCCGGTGATTCTACATGATGGTGAGTTGTATCATTATTTCATTATATATTACAATGTAATAACAGAAATAAAGTGCACAGTAAGTGTAATGTGCTTGAATCATCCTGAAACCATCCCCTACCCACCAGTCCATGGAAAAATTGTCTTCTACAAAGCTGGTCCCTGGGCCAGGTGCAGTGGCTCACACCCGTAATCCCAGCTTTTTGGGAGGCCGAAGTGGGTGGATCACCTGAGGTCAGGAGTTTGAGACCATCTGGCCAACATAGTGAAACCCCGTCTCTACTAAAAATACAAAAATTAGCTGGGCGTGATGGCGGGCACCTGTAATCCCAGCTACTCCAGAGGCTGAGGCAGGAGAATCACTTGAATCTGGGAGGTGGAGGTTGCAGTGAGCCAAGATCGTGCCACTGCACTCCAGCCTGGATGACAGAGGGAGATTCCATCTAAAAAAAAAAAAAAAAAAAAGGTAAAAAGAAAAGAAACTGGTCCCTGGTGCCAAAAAGGTTGGGGGCTGCTGTATGGAGGGATTGATAGAGTTAACTACCAATTTTAAAAATTTACAAGCCGGGCGCGGTGGCTCACGCCTGTAATCCCAGCACTTTGGGAGGCCGAGACGGGCGGATCACGAGGTCAGCAGATCGAGACCATCCTGGCTAACACGGTGAAACCCCGTCTCTACTAAAAATACGAAAAAATTAGCCGGGTGCGGTGGCGGGCGCCTATAGTCACAGCTACTTGGGAAACTGAGGCAGGAGAATGGCGTGAACCCGGGAGGCGGAGCTTGCAGTGAGCCGAGATGGTGCCACTGCACTCCAGCCTGGGCAACAGACTGAGACTCCGTCTCAAAAAAAAAAAAAAAAAAAAAAAAATTTGCCAAACATGGAGTTGCAAAGGAACCAAATACTATCTATGGTTTTCATCCCTTCTTAGAAGGAAAGATAATTAGCTGGTGCACGTGTGTCAGCTGCTATCATCAGATGGAAGCTGGTCCCTGAAATGCCAAGTGCTGCTCTGGATGCTTAAGAACTCATTGAGAGGTGCAGGCCCGGAGACAAGAAGTAGCCATGCAACTGTGAGGTGGCAGATCTGGGGTTCAAGTCCTCAGGGGTCGGCTCCCTGTAGGAGTAGTTTGCACCCCCAAGACCAGTGGTCCTCAAGCATCCATAGGCACCAGTGTCACCTGCAGCACCCACCTGGAGCTCCAGTAGCCAGGGTGGGCCTGAGAATGGGCATTCCTCACCTGTCCCCAGGGGGTGCCAGTGCTGCTGGCCCCAGGCCACCCTTCAAGGACGGCTCCTCATGGGGGCTGAGCAGGATGGGTCTGCTTGTAATCCCAGCACCTTGGGAGACCAAGGCTGAAGGATCCCTTGAGGCTAGGAGTTCAAGACCACCTTGGATAACACAGCGAGCCCTCATCTCTAAAAAAACCATACACACATGCAAACATGCATATGTGCACACACATGTGCATACACACATGCACATACACATACATGCATATACACATACGCGTGTACATATATACACATGCATACACATGCATACACATATATGCACTTACATGCATATACACATACATATACGCATGCATACACATACACACATGCATATACACATAAACTTATATGCATGTGCACATACATGCATACACACATGCATATTCACATGCATGTATATGCACACACATGCATATGCACATACATGCATACACACATGCTTACATGCATATACACATGCATGTATACGCATATGCACACTTGCATATACACATACATGCACATATACATGCATTCCACCACTCTCTGCTCTCCTGTGCTCCAGATGAGCTTCTGCTTTATGAAAAACCTACTCACTTGTTCTGGTTTCTCTTTTTCCTTTGAAGACATCAGGGATCAAACCCATTCAGGGACCTGTCACATGGGACCCTCAATTGGGGCCAGGATACCAGGTCTGGGGCTCCCCCACTTCCAGGGCTGTGTTCCCATCTGACAAGATGGTGACCTCCACTGTCTGTCTCCAGGAGGCCAAAGGTATGAGGAGGGGAATCCAGAGAGATGCTTGATGAGGAATTTTCCAAAAGATGGCCAGTTCCTCAGGCATCATTAGCACTTACTGAGGGTCCAGGGTGTCCAGACACGATTTTCTTTTCTTTTTTCTGAGATGGAGTTTTGTTCTTGTTGCCCAGGCTGGAGTAAATGGTGTGACTTTGCTCACTGCAGCCTCCGCCTCCCGGATTCAAGCAATTCTCCTGCCTCAGCCTCTGGAGTAGCTGGAATTCCAGGTTCCCACCACCATGCCCGGATAATTTTTTGTATTTTTAGTAAAGATGGGGTTTCACCATGTTGGCCAGGCTGATCTTGAACCCCTGACCTCAGATGATCCACCTGCCTCAGCCTCCTGAAGTACTGGGATCACAGGCATGAGCCACCACGCCTGGCCCAGACACCATTTTCTGTATCGATCTATCAAATTTTTGTTGAGAGCTTCCTAGGTTCCAGGCAGCCATTGTTCTGACGTTTTACATCAACTCATTTAATTTCCTTTATGAGGTAAAAACAGTCATCCCCATTTTACAGATGAAGAGACAGGCACAGAGAGGCTGAGTTACTTGCCTGAGGTCCCACAGCAAGTAAGAGGCAAGGCCAGGATTCTAAGGAGGCCAGGAGGCTCCCGGCTCTCTGTTGGCCCAGCCCTGGTCTTCTTAATGAGATCCCAGATCAAGGCTCGGATGAAGGAAGAGCTGTGCCTGGCACTGCTGCTGGCTTTCCAGGTTAAAACATTCCAGGGAACATTAAAAGTGTTCCCAAAGAGATAAATCCACGTTCTAAACCCCTAGAACCTGTGACTGTGACCTTATTTAGAAGAAGGGTCTTTGCAGATGTCATTAAATTAAGGATCTGAGTATCTGAAAACGAGAACATGGACCCCAAATCCAATGTGAGGTGTCCCTGGAAGAGAGTGGCAGAGGGAGATCTGGGACATAGACATGGAGGGGAGGAGGCCCTGTGCAGATGGAGGCAGAGGCTGGAATCACACAGTTCCAAGCCAAGGAATGCCTGGAGCCACCAGAAGCTGGAAGAAGCAGGGCCCTGCTGAAGCCTTGACTTCAGACTTCTGTCCTCCAGAACTGTAAGAGAATCAAGTTCAATTGTTTTAAGCCACTGAGTTCATGACTTGTTGCTTGCGGCCTCAGGAAACTGACACCCTGGGTAAAACCCCTCCCCTCTCTGGGCCTCTGTGTCTTCACCTCTGTGCCCACCATGCAGCTCCTGGGTTCCCTGCTCACTGGTCCCTGACACCAGCTGACCAGGGACCCCTCAGTACCTGTGGGGAGTGCAGTGGGCCGGGGGCCTCCCAGAACTGCACTGGGCAGGCCCCAGCAAGTTTATGCCTGGAGCTGCCTCCCTTGACTGATGCACTGGGCTGGGATCAAGAGGCATGAGCTCTGCTGCAGACCCCAGTGACCTTGAACAAGATATTGTTGCCCTCTGGGCCTGTTTCTTCTGGGAGATGGGAGCCCTCTCATCTGCTAGGTTTGCTGGGAGGGTTCACAGGGTTCTTTAAACATGGCAGGGTCTCAGTCTGTCGTGGACTTCATTGTCATTGGTTTATTATCTATCTATCTATCTATCTATCTATCTACCTACCTACCTACCTATCTATCTATCTATCTATCGAGATGGGGTCTTGCTGTGTTGCCCAGGCTGGAATGCAGTGATGCAATCATGGCTCACTGCAGCCTTGACTGCCCAGACTCCCAAGTAGCTGGGACCACAGGCTCATGCCACCACACCCAACTAAGTTTATTATTATTTGTATAGATGAGGTCTTGCTATGTTGTTCAAGCTGGTCTCAACTCCTAGGCTCAAGCAGTACCCCCACTTCGGCCTCCCAGAGTACTGGGATTACAAACATGGTATGCTGAGCATTTCAAATTTCAAATTATTTTATTTTATTATTATTTTTTTGAGCCAGAGTCTCGCTCTGTCACCCGGGCTGGAGTGTAATGGCACGACCTTGGCTCACTGCAACTTCCCTGTTGTGGGTTTGAGCAATTTTCGTGCCTCAACCTCCCAAGTAGCTGGGATTACAGGCGCCCACCACCATGCCCAGCTAATTTTTGTGTTTTTGGTAGTGATAGAGTTTCACCATGTTGACCAGGGTGGTCTCAGACTCATGACCTCAAGTGATCCACCTGCCTTGGCCTCCCAAAGGGCTGGGATTACAGGTGTGAGCCGCCATGCCCGGCCTATTTTATTTTATAGAGACAGTCTTTATTTATAGAGACAGTCTTACTTTGTTGCCCAGGTAGATCTTGAACTCCTGGGCTCAAGCAGTCCTCCCTCATTGGTCTTCCAAAATGCTGGGATTACAGGTGTGAGCCACCATGCCAGGCCCATTGTTATTCTTTTAATGAGCTTTTTCCTGAGCCCCTACTATGTGCCTGGCTGGACATGAAACCCCTCTCAAGGAAATAGAGTTTGTCTGATGCTGATAATGACCTTCATTTTAGTAATGAGGACTCTGAGGTCCAGAGAGGTTAAGACTTTTGTGGAGGAGCACAAGCTGGCCCAGGTCCCCCCACACTTTAGTGCCCTGTGACTGCTGGGAGCTTCCTGGTTGGACGGGCAGGGGAGAGCTGGCAATTTGGCATGTTGGGAGAGGGGGAAGAGCAGGCAGAAGGGTGTTCCTGGCCGAGGGCACACTTCAGTGGAATCCAGGAGTGTGGACTTTGATGCCGGGTAAGGCTGGGGCAGCAAGGGGCCCAGAAAGTGCCACTGGCTGCAGTCAAAGTGGGCTGAGCCAGGTGTTCTCTGTTTCTGAGGCTGACCTCTGTGAACTCTGAGAGAGAGAGAGAAAGACAAGGGATGTTGGTGTGCACTCGTGTGCATGTGTGCACAGCTGTGTGGTCTGGCAGGCTTGTGAGATGGTGCCCATGTACAAGCAGCTCTGTTGTGTGTGCGGTGCTGCTTGGAGGCCATGGGCCTGGGCTTTTGGGTATGTGTGTTTCCACTGGTGGAAAGTGGGTGTATCTCTAGGCAGGAGCTGGGAATGTCTGTGGGCCCGAGGTCCAGGGAGAGCAAGCCTACAGCTGTAAGTGGGCCAGACCACGTGAGAGGGGTCTGGGAGCCTTTGTGTCTGTGTGCCTGCGCCTCAGAGTGTCTGCATGAGTGGAGGAGTGTATGCACACCTGTGTATGCAGTCATGCACATGCATGTGTGTGTATATGCATGTATATATGCTTATGTGTATGTAAGCGAATGTGCTGCTTGTGTCTGCTCTGTATGTCTGCTTGTGTCTGCATCTGCCTGAGTGTGCATGCGTGTGAGTCTTGCTTTCACATTCAGTGCTAGTCAGAGGTTCCAATTCCTGTAAACCTCATGGTCTCATTTTCCAGCAGACATCCCACAGCAGTGGCAGTGGGCACCACAGCCTAGGCTTGGTCTGACCTATGGCTTCCCCTTTTCAAGCCTCTGGCTGCAGGGTGTAGAGGGGATGTAGGTGAAAGCAGGATACCTGGTCCCCAGCCAGCCACAGGCCCCACCATCCCTGCCATTTTTGGCCTGAAGCCACCCATGGAAGTCTGAGGGAAGTGACATTACTAGGACTGGCCAGGGTAGACCTGCCCTGGGAAATGTGGGTTCACCTTCATTGTACTGAAAGTGAAAATCAGATCATGCCTCTCCTCTGTCTCTCTTAAAACCCTCCAAAGAGTCCCTGTTGCATTTCACGCAAAACATGAGTCTCTACCCAGAATCTCAGGTGTCACCAGGACCCTGCTGGCCAGAAAGACTTGGGAAGGAACCACCCATGGCGTATCCACAGTGTCACTCTGGGCTTCGGGTCCCTTCCTGTAAAAGCTGAGTAGGAAGTCCTTGCAGGGGGCAGGGATGATTGCGTGCTTGTGGCCATTCCTCTGTCCAGTGGGTAGACACTGGGAGGCTCTGGAGACTTGGCCATGAAGGAGACAGCCCTCCTGGTGGGCCAGAGCCTTCTCACTTTGCATGTAGCCATATGAGATAGTAAAGAGCGGTTGCTTCCCCATGCTTTTAAAAATTTTATATTTTATATTTTATTTTTTGAGACAGGGTCTTGCTCTGTTGCCCAGGTGGAGTACAGTGGTGCAGTCACCACTTACTGCAGCTTCGATCTCTCAGGCTCAAGTGATTCTCCTACCTCAGCCTCCAGAGTAGCTGGGACCACAGGTGTGCACCACCACACCTGGCTAATTTTTAAATTTTTTTCTAGAAACAGGGTTTCCCTATGTTGCCCAGGCTGGTCTCGAATTCCTGAGCTCTAGTAATCCTTCCGCCTCAGCCTCCCAAAGTGCTGGGATTACAGGCGTGGGCCCCCGTGCCCAGCCCCTCAGGCCATTTCTGTGCCTGAAATAACACTGGCTAACCATGGTTGACATTTCTCTTGTTCCCAGAGTGAAACGAATGAGTGCTGCTGCTTTAATCCTGCAGCTACCCCCACATGGTCAGCACTTACGTTTTCACTCTTATTTGGCAGATGAAGAAATTAAGTCCTGTTAAGGAATGTGCTTAGGATCACGTGCTAGGAGGTGGTCGCGCTGGAATTCAAATCCAGGCAGGTGCTAGCTTGAGAGCCACTGCTCTGTAAAGCCTTTCTCAGGCCTCCGCTCAGGCCAAGGGAGGAGGAAGGAGGAAGGGCCCTCAGGCAGGAGCAGCCTGAGCAAAGGTCTGGAGCTAGGACCGAGCATGGCATGTCAGGAGAGAGGGGGAAGAGCTCTTTGGCTGCGGGGAGCAGTGTGAGGTCAAAATGGAGAGGCAAGAGGAGGGAGGGGCGTGGAGGTCCTTGATGCCGGCATGAACACTCCGGGCCTTCTGTGGGGTGGGCGGCACGGGGGAAAGCTCCGGCTGGGTGCCCTGGCTCAAACTATCCTTGTCTCGGGCAAGGACACCTGCATGGACCCAGTCGTTCAAGCCCCAAACCAAGTCCATCCTTGACTTCTGTCTTTGTCTCCCCTCATCAGGCTGTGAGGAGTAGAGTGAAACCACAGCTGCAGCTTCCTGGCTAGTCTCTCCACTCCTCTGCCCCCACAACCCAGTCTCCATGTAGCAGCCAGGGGCGTCTACTGAAAACGAAAATCACATCATGTCTCTCTCTTTTTCTCTCTTTTATTTATTTATTTATTTATTGAGATGGAATCTTCCTCTGTTGCCCAGGCTGGAGTGCAAACACCTCCCGGGTTCAAGTGATTCTCCTGCCCCACCCTGTCAAGTAGATGGGATTATAGGCCACTCACCACCACGCCCCATTAATTTTTGTATTTTTAGTAGAGACGGGGTTTTGCCATGTTGGCCAGGCTGGTCTCGATCTCCTGACTGCAAGTGATCCTCCCACTTTGGCCTCCTAAAGTGCTGAGATTACAGACATGAGCCACTGCACCCAGACTCCTCTCTCTCTCTCTCTGTCTCCCCCCCACCCCACCCCCCGCCACCCCGAAAATGCGCATTCCTGATGCATTTAGAACAAAATCCAAATTCCTTTAAGTGGTCTGTGAGTCTCTACCTGATGTTGCCTTACTGACCTCTTGACCGCATCACTGACTGCTCCCCCATCACTGCGCACCCATACTGGCCTTTCTGTTCCTCATACACACAAGGTCACTCCTGCTTCAGGGCCTTAGCATTCGTCATTCCCTCTGTGGGAGTGACCTTCCCAGGCCACCAGCCCCTTCTCGTCATTCAGGTCTCAGCTGAGGGTGCCTGCGCAGATAAGCCCTTCTCCCCATCCCTCCTGGTTTATTTTCTTCATCCGCATGTGCTCAGCACCCGAAACTGTCTCTTGTTCTCTCCCCATCCTTCACCAGATTATAAACTCTATAAAAGCAGTTCTTTGTTGGTTTTGTTCACTGCTGCATCCCAGGCATTCAATGAGCACTTGTTGAGTGAAGAAATCAGACTCAGTCTTCCCCTCTGTAAAATGGGACCACATTAAACCTCCTGGCAGGGTAGTGGTGTGGCTCAGAGGTAATATTTGTACACAGTTGGACTTCTTCCTTACTGGCCCAAGGACTTACCTGGCCACCCCTCCTGGAGCCCAGCTTCCTCCAGCTCCCCCATGCCCACTGCCCTGGGAGCAGACACCTTAGCAGAAGGGCTGTCCTCCAGACCCTTTGCAGCCAGGCCTCTCTGCTCACAGATCCCTGAGGACATCTGTGGGTTGACGCCCAGAGCCCAGCCCCAGCCTCATGCAAATTCTGTCTCCCAGTCCAGCAGCTGTGGCCTCCTTCACTCGGCCTTTTAAAAGAAATTCTTGGGCTGACTCACACTTCCTTTATCTCCAGCTGGGTTCACTCAAGTGTTGCTGTTTTGCAAGGCTGAGGTTTGAGTCCCTCAGAAGTAATCTCCGATGCAGGGGTGCTGTATGCTTCAGTGAACTTCGAATGAGGGTCAGGCCCCCCAGAAAACCTCTTACCAGGACAGTTGGGAAACTATCCCCCACTGGTGGTCAGGGCATTCTGGGTTGCAGAAACTGCTTTGGGGCTTTGGCAGGTGTTTATTTTGTCCGTCCCCCTGCCTCCCACCTAACCCCATCCCAAACTCACTCAAAAAAATGTCCCTGCTGCCCTGGGGGTGCATTTCAATGTCTCATGTCCCCCGCTTTTCCTTCCTTCCCTGTGAAGTCAGGCGTTTGGATTCAGTGCACATCTCAGAAGGTTTGTTTCTTTCTGTGCAAACACGTGGAGTGATGCTTCGTCTCGATTTTCTAGAACACTTCCACTTTCACAGAATTGTGGTTATTTTGAGAAAAAGGGTCTGTTACAGGTACAACAATGTACTGGTACTGCTCTGCATTTCTTGTTGATGTCCCTGGAAGAGTTTTTATGTAAATAAAGTCACACTGCTCCAGGGGGAAGGAGTCCCTGAGGAGTTCCCTGGAGAGAAAGGCGTGGGCGACATTTACCCCATTTTCTCCCCTGTCTGCAGTAGAAAGAACCGGAGCTTTGAAGGCAGGCTGATTTCAGCGCCAACCTCTTCCTGGCTGTGTGGCCTTGAGTAAGTTACTTAACCTCTCCAAGGGCCTGAATTGCTTGGGGGTAGATTTAGGGCACAGTTACCCCTGGATACTATTTTGACGGGGGTGGGGTGGGGGGATGGGTGGTGGGGTGGAGGGGGAATTGGGGTGGGGTCGAACTTTTCTTATTTACTTATTTTTTTAGAGACAGGGGTCTTGCTCTGTCATCCAAGCTGCAGTGCAGGGCACGATCACAGTCACTGCAGCCTCAATTCCTAGACTCCAAGTGATCCTACCCACTCAGCCTCGGAGTAGCTGGGCACTACAGGCAACACACACACGCCGCGCTAATTTGGTTAATTTTTTGTAGAGACGGGGGGTCTCCCTCTGTTATTCCAGCCTGGTCTTGAACTCCTGGGCTCAAGCGATCCCTCCGCTTTGGCTCCAAAATATTGGGATTATGGCGTGAGCCTGGCCTGGAACCCATTTTAAATAGGTGGAAGTGAAACTCACATAACATAACATTTACCTAATTTGAATGAACAACTCAGTGGTGTTTAGTACATTTACAGCGTTGTGCAACTGCCACCTCTCTTTAGTTGGAAAACATTTTCATGCGTTCCCAAAGGAAACTCCGTATCCATTAAGCAGTCATTCTCCACTCCCTCTTCTCCTTGGTAGTTAACTTGGTACTACGGGGTTTCTTGACTGAAGTCCCTGAAGAGGAACAAGTGTTTTCCAACTGGGCCACCCCTGTGACAAGTTGTCATTTGCGTGGAGATGGGATTCTGTTCTGGTATGTTACGTGCCTTTCTATAATTTTTTTTTTTTTTTGAGATTGGAATCTCGCTCGTCGCCCAGGCTTGGAGTGCAGTGGCCAGATCTCAGCTAACTGCAGCTTTGCCCTGCGGGTTTTAGCCATTCTTCTGCCTCACCCTCCTGAGTAGCTGGGACTACAGGTACCCGCCACCTCGCCCGGCTAGTTTTTTGTTATTTTTTAGCAGAGACGGGTTTACCGTGTTAGCCGGGATGGTTCGACTCTCCTGGA